CATATATGAGTTGGTTATTAATTTACCTTAGAATTAGCTTCATATATTGGAGCAGGGTCAAGAACTTTATCCTTAAGAGGAGAATCTGAAGTGGGTAATTTCAAAAGAACCTCCATTGTAAGAAGATCTTTGTCTTCTTCTTTTTGTATGAATTTTCTTTTTGTTGTCTGTTTTTTTTCTTCGTACACAGACATTTAATCAAACCCGTTACTTATAGCCATTTGTGTGTAGTTTATTCGAGGGGACCCAAAGCGTCAACACTTCAACATGTTCAATTTTTTATTTTATTTTATTGAATTTGGGTACCTTTTCCTCCAGTCATATATGTGTTATTTATTTTAGTGCAGAAAATAACTGACGGTTTGTTGATAGTAATACAACTTCACCGTTTTAATAGGGATACAATTATATTACAACTAGTGCAATGACTTTTCTTTTTATCAAATTTAATAGATTTTTTTTTTCTTATTGACATATATTTGTTTCAATATATTTTAGAAATTACAAAATATTCGAATTCAAATCAAAATATTTGATTCCAATTTATATGTTTAAAATTGATATAGATTTAATAAATAGTTTTCAAATTGAAACTGTGCTGACAAATATTTTTTAATTTATTAACTGACCCAAGTGTAGATAAAGTCTAGCTATATGAATCTTGGTTAACTAATTAGAGTAGTATTAAATGTCCAAATGCAATAAATGAAATTAATATTTATACGAAAGAGCCTAAATGTACGGCGTCAAATAGAGATTGTCTAATGTGAAGGGAGATATCCTTGAAGCTTCATGGGAGAAGACTTCTTCGGCCTCACATCACATGAGCATTCGTCAACTCTTTAAATCTTATACTATTTCTTTATTTGGTATCTTTATTAGCCCTCACTCATCAATGACATGTTATATATTCCGAATATGTATAATGTTACACATTCGTAGACATTCCATTACTACATTGAGTTTATCTTTCTTTCTTTTTTTTGTTTTGATCAACATTGAGTTTATCTAAGTGCTCATATTTCTGACTGATAATCGCCTTAATTACATAATAACGATACATCTCTTCAGCTTTTATGTTCTACCACGTTAGAGATAAAAATAAGATATTTTGTTTTTTCACATAATGATTTGACGTTTTAATTTCTTCTGAATAATTTTTTTTTTAAGTTTTCTTCTATTTCTTAGTATTAGCAATCTTAACTAAAAGAAACAAGTTTGCCTAATAATAATAAAAAAAAATCAGGTAAATCGAAACACAAAATTGAAAACAATGAATTTAGACGATTTCAAATATAATTGAACAATAATCAATCGATTAAGAAAAAACATAAAGTCAAATCATGTAACATGAGAACAGGAAAAAATAGTAGGCAATTTGATTATTGTTTTATACGTAAACCTTGTTCATATGGTAGGCCAAAGGATGCGTATACCGGTCAATACGAAGGTCACACACGGTAATTACAGTATATGATTTTGTCAACTATTGACTTTGTTGATAACAAAATTAATCGTG